TTAGCCGGGTGTAGTAGCACATGCCTGTAGTTCCGGCTACTTGGAAGGCTGAGGCGGAAGAATCGCTGGAGCCCAGCAGGTCGAGCTTGTGGTAGCCAGGAGTGGCCACTGCACTCCAGTCTGGGCAATGGAGTGAGACTCCAACAACAACAACAACAACAACAACAACAAAGAAATGGCTCTGGAGAGCTGAGAAAGCAATGGAGGAGAAAGATAATTTGGGGAAGGATTCCAGTTAATTTAAAGCAAGTCTGGAAAGGTAAAGAGATGAACAAGCATCTAAGTCTGATGCTCTGAAGAATACGAGCAAAGAAATTTCTGCTCCGTGATGCTGCAGCATCTTTCCCAGAGAACTGTGGAAAACTTCTGAAGGTAGCTTTAATGCAAAGCAAATTTCCAATCTTGTTGAACCTATGCTTTATTTAAAACAAAAACAAAAAGCCCAAATGCCATCTTGCACATTTCAGAAGTGCCAGACATAAATCCTCCAAAGATAAGCTAATACTGTTTTTAGCTGGAAACTGAGGGCAATGTTAAACTGAGCCCTTGCTCATACACCATCTCAGAATCCACGTGCCCTTGGTTGATATTGAAGACTGAAGACTTCAAGGTTGTTCAAATCGGATACACAAAGGAGCATCTTTCATATGGGCTGCCTTGAGTAAAGATGACCATTCTGGCCATTCTTCTAGAGCTTTCAGTTACAAATAATATCTGTGTGGTCTTTTGGCTTTTCAATACTACATCATTATTGTATCCTGTGTTCCAAGGAGTCACCACAATCTTCAAGGCATATTAGTCATATTAGTTGATTATAGAATATCTGATGTAGACTGCTGACAGGATGACAGTACTTTGATGAAGGATTTATGGAACAGTTTTTACCTTAAAGGCATCTGATGTACTGATTAGGCTTGGAAAAAAGTGTCACCACAAATAACAAATGAAATAGGTTAGAAACAGCTCCTGAAATTTTTTTTCTAACTTCCAAGGTTTTGAGAAAGTGATGACAAAACAAAACATCTTTGACTTTGCTAAGGTGCCTGGAGTAAGCAATATGGACAGTAAAAAATGCTGAAGAACTACAGCACCACTAATGAATAGCCAGAACTTACTAAGAAACTTCCAACTGATGGTCACCACCTGTGCTAGGCAGGGGAGGGAGAGGAGCTCCATCATTCGAACACCTTTCAAATCTTGATCATGCAGGCATAACGAGTTTGTTGAAGCAGATCATGACATGAACTGAAGCAATGAATGAAAACAGCTACGAACAGAATCCTATGATGTCAGGGGTTCCAAGACCACAGGTCAAGGGAATGCAAACAGATGCCCGTTTTGGTTTTGTTCATCTCACAGCACCCAACAGTGGTCCTCGGCCATTCACTGCTGGAGTCTTGATGCCAAGGAGACGACCATCCACCAGTGTCTGGATGAATGCCAGACATCTGCTTCCTCCACACCTTCGCTGGCTCACATTGGCTCTCTTCCTTCCACTGCCAAACAGCAGCCACCCCTTCTGCATATCGCCCTCCTCTTGCTGCCAAGTGCCCTCAGGCAACTCTTCTCACTCTCTCATCAATTAAAAGAAGGCTTTATTATATTTTGCTAAACGTTAATTGCTTTCATTATGTGTCTCCATACATATTATTTCACTGCTTATTTTTATTACAGGTTTATTAGATTTGATTTTTATCTAATATTGTAAAATATTGTTATGTTCTGTATACAAATGTGTCCATCAATGAATTCATTGAGAATTAATTAGGTAATTATGTTTTTAAAATGTTCTATGACACAGAAATCCTTTAGCAGATATTAAAAGGATTTTTTTTTTTTGAGTTGGAGTCTCACTCTGTCGCCCAGACTGGAGTGCAG